ACAACAAAAAGGCATAGTAGCAGTGTAGGTGCAGGTGACCTCAGGAGCACAAACACTGTGCAAACACTCCATATGGTGTCTATAGAGCAGCCCACAGCATTTCACACCATCTCCATCAGTTTAATAAAACTAATGTACCTGTGCCTACGGGTGTATGTAAATGAATGAATTTTTTTTGACAGATAGGTATTGCCTTGTATTTAGAGTCCTGGAGAAGGTTTGCTGAGCGGAGCTTTTGGTTACAGTTGTTCTCCCTGGGCATGTGGTCTCAGAGAGCTGTGCGGGACTGCCCCTTCCTCTCTCCCTGGTGTTTTTTGTGCTCTGTCCTGTCACCTCTCTGCTTGGACTTCCTACCTCATACCACAGGTTACTCACCAGAGAGTTTCTCTGTCTCATCCCTGGCGTGTCAGAAGTCACAGCACTCATTTTTTATTTTTCCCGGAGCCACGCCTGAGTCCAAACTTCGGTGCTGTAATGTCCATCTATAACATTAGCACCAGCCATCCAAGCAGCATTACTGCCCGGTCGTTTCCTTGCAATGCATATTGTATCTATTTTTATAGTTTCTTTTATACTTTCAACAGACTTTCTACCAGCAATAATGTCATTCAGATAATTATACCGTAATTGACCTTACTGTTGAGCATCCTTGGCTTTTACTGCAGTTTGCTTAATACTTCAGGACGGTCAATTATCTCGTAATTCCCACTTTGCTGGGAATTATTGTTTTAATTATGACACTCCAAATACATCATTTTGGCATAATAGTGAGGGTACACTTGGGAACAGTCGTATTCGTGAATGCTTTAAAGAGTTACCAGCTTTATCATGTGGGAGGGCTTTTCATCTTGTCATTTCTAGTCATTACTATTAACACTGATGTCACTTAATTATCACTTAGTCTGCTCAGGCCAGGTCTTCATCTGCAGGAGCCAGCATATGGGGAGTTGGGGTTTGCAGGATTCGAGAGCAGTTGGATGGCTGTGCAGTCTGATCGTATTGATTTCTTTTCTGCCATGTTACAGTGTGAGTCATCTATGTTAATGCAGGTAACTTCCAGCGGAAGCTTGGGGTAAAATGGTGACTCTTTTTTAATTTTTTTTTAATCTTTTCCTAGCAATTTGAAACATGAATTATAAAAAATAGACAGCAAGCCCACTGATGTTTGCCCTGTTACTGGTAAGGATTTTAGGGCTGCGTAAGAGGCTTGTATGGTCCTCTGTTACGTTTATTTGATTTGTGCCTGTGTAGCACTGGTACTCCACTTGGAGCAGTGCCCTGCCAGTGTTGGAGAGAAAATAGAGTGGTCCTTGTGGTGGGAGATCTTTACAGTCAGCACTGTGCTCAGCACTGCCCAAAATAGAGACTGAAGTATAGCATACCATGCTTTGCAGCCTAGTGCAAAAGATACTGTGGGTCCAGCACTAGAAACGCAGTGTTCCACTTCTGAAGCAAATTTTGTGAACGGGGCAATGTGCTCAGCCTTTCTATAAATGTGTATGTTCAGTTGTTTTTGTCAGCATTTTGTGGTGTATTTAACATGAATAAAAATTATCTACCTAAGCAGAATATGAAAAAGTAGTACATTACACTAAACCAGAAACTAAATATAACCTACTTTCCTGTGTCTGATCTAATTATTGTATGTGAGCAAACTCATGTGTTGGTTAGTAGGACAATGCTACTCACTGGTAGATTAACGCATTTTATTGAAAAAAACAGCATGAAAAGACTTTATTCCTCTATAAATTTTAATAGTTACTAAAATGAGGACTCTGGCCCATTAACTTACAGCCTGCCAAGTCATAATGCTGAATCACTTCGTTTCTTTAAGTAGCTATCCTGCTGCAGCTTCTCAAAGGCAGCTGTTAGGAAAGCACCAATGTTTAAATCAAGGAGCAGCGCAGAGTCTGACAACTGAACAGCGCATTTCAAAGGAGGTTTTCTTATACAGTCTGCAAATGTAAGGACCTCTCTTGGAGTATGTACACTTGCACACTCAGGACCCAAGGTGTGGGTGGATAGAGGATTACACGTAAGGAATCTGATGTCAGTGGAAACCATGAGGACCTTGTGTTACATCCTGGTATTTCTCACTGAAAGTAGATCTTTACAGGTGTTTATAGGCAGAAAAGCTATTGCCAAAAATAGTGGAAATCCGGTATGGGTAAAAATGTCGTCCCTTGCACACTGAAAATAGGTGTTAGGTCCATAGGAAGGTCTAGACCATAGCTCATTGGCTATGTACATGACATATCTTTATTACTCAGCATAAGAGATGAGATAAATTCCGTCTGTTGGGACCAGTACCAGAAATTCCATGAAGTCAGAGATCCTTATGTGACAGGTGCATATGCATGTTGAAGGGAAAAGAAGATGGTACTGCAGGGGTATTGATTGACTGGTTTCATGCAAGGAAAGGGGCAGGACAGTTAAAAGTGAGACAGTTTAGATTTATTCTGTTGTAATTGGCTCTTGAGGAAAAATAATGTTAGTCCTAGTACACTGGCCAAATTTCGGTTTGGGAAATGATATTCTGCCTGCTGCCAGTAGATGAGTTGTCTCCATTTTTCTGCTAATACCAGATGAGATACCAGAGCAAGATCTTTCCATATAGGTATCAGGTCTGATCCATCTTTGAAGCAATAAAACCATTAAGCAGTGTGCATTGCCCCAACGTGGTGCTCATCCTTTATATGCTACTGATAATTAGCTACTTTATCATTCTAGTAGGGAGCTTTAATTTATTACTTTATTAAGCAGAGAAATCAAAGATTAAAATGGTATCTATAGCACATAGCTAACTAGGCTGTGAAAAATGAAACTATATGGTTTTAAATTTATGAAAATAAATATTTCTATTTAAAAAAGTGCAGTAATTTAATTCTTTAGGCACAACTGTAATTTGTAGTTTACTGGTTATTATTTTTCTTCATTTTAAAGCAAATTACTTCTGTAGGGTGAAGTTGAGAAGTAATGAATTGAATTCATATTACAAGCTACTGCCTCCCAAATTATTAATGAATATAAATGTAATAGGAGCATACTATTAAAATCTTTTGCAAAATACTATGCTGTATTGTTGCAGTAAACAAATATATTTTTCAAACCATCAGTTCATTTAATGCTGCATTCCTACTTAGGACTTCTGTGCCTACTGCCACTACTGTCTTCCAATGTCTTAACATGCGTTGTCTCTTCAAAGCAAAAAATAACATTGTTAATTTGTGTCATTTACTATAATTGTTGATTAATAATCTGCTTTAAAGCTGAATCAGTAAATGTATTTTAAGATGTATTTGCTGAGGATGGGAAACCCTCGTCTATCTATTTTATACTGTCAGAGAAAAAGAGACAGGCAGGCCAGCAGACAAATGGAAAAGGCACAGGCTGTGTTCAGCACTAGCTTTGTTGTAAAATTTTATTTCTGCTTAGTGTTCTCAGAGGGTAAGTAACAATTACCACTCAAAAAGATGAAAGGTTTTTGCAAATTCCACACTTATAAATCTGAGCTGCTGTTCACAAGAATCGGAAATTTTGGAGAAATGGAGAGGAGGACCTGAGTGTCGCAGCTGGGAGAAATGTTCTCTCACATGATTTGGGCAACAACTACAGCTTAATTTGTGTGGTTCCATTTCTTAATGCTTTCCAGAAGTTCGTGGTGTAATAAGGAAAAGAACAACTTTGGTAATAGCGATGGAACAGAAGTTGCACAATGTAAATGCTAATTTCTTGATTTGCACTCCTGGTAATAGCTATAAAATAAACCTAGGGAGGTGTGCACTGAAAGCCCCAAAACTAATTTGCTGTTTTGTACAGTTTTATGCAGAATAATAGCTCTCTGTAGTGCATGGAGGAAAAACTCCAAACCCAGTGCTCTGGATGAATGGGAGATCTAAAATCTGTCAGTAAGGACTTTTTTGGGTGTTCCTCCCACACCCTTATATAAGGAGATAGAGAGATGGAAACTGCAGGGTTTCATCTCAGAATTACTTTCCTCTTCATTTCTGTCAGCTCCAATTCTGCAAAATGCCTGAACACATCCCTACTTATGCACATTCAGCCATTGACTTCAGTGTGAGAGAATCTTCAGTGCATGCTTAAATGCTTTCTTGAACTAGGGCCAAAAGCTGCTGCTGCTGCTGCTAAAATCAGTCCCAGAGGGAACTTTGCATCTTTCATTACTTCATTCTTTGTCCACCAAGGTACAGGCTCCACCAATTTGGAAATATGGTAGGAGTTGATAAATATTGCCTGCCTTGTTCAAAGGACTAGAGCAGAATTGTTGGATGACAGTGCATAAAAGTTCGTAATACATCTGTTTCTTTCCTGTCCTGTGCATAAGCTCTTTAAAGATCACTACTAAGCGAGGGCTGCAGAATAGCAAAAGACTAACTGAGCCACTACGTTGTGTTTCCATCTACTGCAGGCACAGCCTGTAATTGTAACAGGCACCAAAATAAAATGAGTTTAGGTGTTTCCCTTGTTCTTTCCTGCTTTGAGACTGTTTAGAAAGAAGCTTGCTTATTTCTTTGCTAAAAATCTTCATTCAGATGTTTGCTAAAGTCTGACTTTCCTGGAGCCACTTTGTTCTTCTTGATTTACACTGGCAAATGTACACACATACACACCCTGCCTCTTCTGGGATTACTGATTTAGCTCTGCATATCTGTAGAGGAAACAAGTTAAAACGAGGCCAATGCACAGTATTTGTAAAATGGTCCAAAGCAGCTCTACATTCATCTCGTTGGCACTGCAGATAGATAGCAACTGTGATCCATCGGCTGATCACCTTTATCTGTTTCTTGCAATGCCTTGTGCACTTTTAATACAAGACACTTGCTGAGTAGCTATCACTTGATTAAAACTCAAAGTGCTATCTGTGAAAACAACTCCAAATCATATTATCAGGTTAAGTTCTATTGAGGGATAGTGACAAGTGAACCACTGTTTTGAGTAAGCGACTGCTGATGTTTTCTTCTTTTCTTTCCTGACTGCAGAGCTCTTCGGTATCTCCCTCAGCCAGTTTCAGAACAGCAGAAAAGCACAGAAATTCAACAGATTATTCTACAGATAGTAAAAAACAGAAAACAGAAGAGAAGGAAATAGCAGCTCGTTATGTGAGTAAATTGTCTACATTGTGCATTGTCGAAATTTAGTAATTTCTGTAATTTCCTCTGTAATTTCTGCTGCATAACTACTTCTAAAAAGAAGCATCAAATTTTTAGCAGGTTCTTACTTCCTCCCTCTTCACATCTGTGCTGGATAGAAGGTTTCAATATGTAGGATTGATAGTGTTTTTAATAATACAAATGCAGAGCACCTGGAAGGCATGTGACAAGAGGACTGAGCATTAGTTAGGCTGGGACGTGGTGGATCTGGACTGTAGCTTGGCTCTGTTTCTCAGTGCATTGCAGTTTAGGATGAGGATTTTAATCCTCTGTCCTTGTTCACTGATGTGAAAACTGGGAATAACTTTTGGCTGCCTGTTCAGCAGAAGCCCTGTAGGTGACCTAAATATTGTATTACCGCATAAAGCGTGGTAAAAGTAAATGCTGTGTTGCATAGTTGTGAGCAGCTGTCGTGGTTCAAGCCCAGCCGGCAACTTGGAACCACGCAGCCGCTCGCTCACTCCCCCCCTTTTCCTTCCTCCCCCCGCTCCCGGAGGGATGGGGAGGAGAATCGAAGGAATGTAACTCCCACGAGTTGAGATAACAGCTCTCCAGTAACTAAGGTATAATACAAACCACTACTGCTACCAGTAATAATGATAAGAGGAATAACAAGGGAAAAGGACACAACCGCTCACCACCCGCCGACCGATACCCAGCCCGACCCGAGCAGCGATCTGGCCTTCCGGGTAACTCCCCCCAGTTTATATACTGGGCATGACGTGCTGTGGTATGGAATACCCCTTTGGCCAGTTTGGGTCAGGTGTCCTGCCTCTGCTTCCTCCTGGCTTCCCCTCCTCTCTGGCAAAGCATGAGACTGAGAAAGTCCTTGGTCAGAGTAAACATTACTGAGCAACAACTAAAAACATCGGTGTTATCAGCGTTGTTCCCAGACTGAAAGTCAAAAACACAGCACTGCACCAGCTACTAAGAAGGAGACAAAATGACTGCTGTAGCTGAACCCAGGACAGCAGCCTAGCATTTCATTGGTTTATTTTTCCTTAGTACTTAAAAAAATGTTAGGATATTAAATAAATGTTTTTGACACACTGATTTGTCGTTGTAGGACAGCGATGGTGAAAAGAGCGATGACAACTTGGTTGTTGATGTTTCCAACGAGGTATACAAAATGATGGTTTTTATACCTTACCGTGTTAGTGGTAGGGGTGTCTTCAGTGGTTTCTGTGTATAGGATGTATATGAATAAGATTACAGCCTTTGCCTCCATAAAGGAGCTTGAAATGCTTGAGGGAATCCAGTCAGGTCATCTTTCTTTAGAATGCAAATCAGATCTGTAACACTTACTTCTACAAAGGACCTTTTTGTTTCTTGTATGAACCAAAAGTCTGCTTGAGATATTTGAAGCCAGCCCAGCACAGCAGGTACTAGGCAGCTTGTAATGGTATCTGTGTTTTCTTTCACTCTGGCCATGACTTCATTTGTGAACTTTCTGAGGTCTGCCAAGTGCCTCAAACCTTTTCAATCTGTCACCTAACAAATGATATTTAGTTGACAGTTTCAATATCCATAATCTGTCAGTATTTTTCATGGTTAATGGCATCAAATTTTCAGACTCTCTTTAAAAAAAAAAAAAAAAGGTAAAAGAAGTTGATTTTCATTATCCGTCTCGATTTCATAATTTTATCAGCTAAATCAATTAAGAATGGAAGGAAGGTGTCAGGTTTTATGACACATGTTCATTCCAAAGTGAAAATTGCTCAAAACAAGCACTAGTGGCTAGTATGAAGTTTTTATACTAACCCCCATTGCTGATGTTTAGGATCCTTCCTCTCCCCGGGGAAGCCCAGCACACTCTCCACGGGAGAATGGCTTGGACAAGACGCGACTGCTGAAGAAAGATGCACCAATTAGTCCGGCGTCTATTGCATCCTCCAGCAGTACTCCTTCCTCCAAATCCAAAGAACTTAGCCTTGTAAGTGCTTCAGAATGCTCCAGACCCATGATCATACACTGAAACACGTTTACTGGATTTCTGACTGGGCGCAATTTGGATTTCCGCAGCTAACAGTAAAGCACTGTGAAGCATCAGTTTAAAATTTGTTTTATTTATCTCTTCATTGGAATTTAATAACATAGTATGGAGAAGGTCCACAGCCTTTTGTTGGGATAGGAAGAGGTTATTTTCACTGGTGGTGTAGGTAGATGATAGATATGCTGTGTTGAGAGATGTTTTTCTCTTCCCCAATATGAAAAACTGTCGTTCTGAGAATAAATGAAAATACACAGGGGCTTCTTGAGCTGTTTTCCTGTGCTGTGGTTTATAGCAAATTCAGTTCCCTGCTTGGATGTGATTTGGTTGTTAGCTTTGTTTGAATTACCAGGCCATATACAACAACAGTAATTTTTATTTTCTATCTAAAAAGTAATCTGTCATTTACAAGAGCCTTCCTTGACTTGCATCACAAATCACAATGCAAAAAAAAAAAAAAGAGCTGATGCAAGTCAGGGGTATTCTTTCCTTTCCTTTTTGTGACCACAGTTAATCATCTTCCTGAGTTGCACAGAAACTCCCTCTCTGTTCTTCACAGGTCAGAGTACATGACTATTTAAAGAAATAAAATAAATAAAAAGAAAGCTTAAAGTGAATGTAGTGCTCAGAAAGGGTGATCGAATGACAGGTTCAGGCCTGGGAGTCAGTGGTTTGTCTGATGAACAAGCTTGTCACAAGAGCAGCACGGCATAGTTCCTGACTTATACCCATCACTGTCTCCATCCTGTTTCCAGCACCATGTTTGGGCATGAGTTGTTGGCCAGTTGTATGTGGGGGTCTGTTCTTCTTGTCCACCCGGCAGCAGCCTCTCACAGAAACTCATAATTGTAATGGGAGCAGGTCCTCTATGAGCAGAGTGAGATTTCACCTACAGGTTTCACATATGCTGTCATTGTAATTGTCAGACAACAATGATTTTCAGTCACTGACCTCATTCTGGATCATACATACACCCCCAACGAGGAAAGCTGTGAAGGCTGTAGATAATTCTCAAAGCCATTCCGTCTTTTTCAGTGTCTCTGCAGCTTCTCTTAATAGACAGGGACCGTTGAAACCCAAACCCAAAAGCTAAATACCACTAATCACCTGCATTCTGATTGTCGTCACCTCTCTTTCCAAATGCTAGCTAAAAAAGTAAAATAACTTACAAATTGTCTTCCTTTTTCTTTTTTTGGTGATTAGAATGAGAAGTCTACCACTCCTGTGTCTAAATCAAATACCCCAACTCCACGGACTGATGCCCCAACTCCAGGCAGCAACACCACTCCCGGACTGAGGCCAGTGCCTGGCAAACCCCCAGGTGTGGACTCACTAGGTTAGTCTCTGTATATTTCGATGGTGTGAAACGGTGGCCATTTGCCCTTAACGATGCTGCCTTTAAATCTACAGTGATGGGGCAGTATATTACAGCTGCTTAAACTGGATACAGAGCTGGTTCTTCGGTGCTTTAATACAGCGTGTTTACCAAACTCATATTTCATTTAATGGGTCTGGATTGGCTGTATGACTTCTCTCTTCTTTTCCCCCTCAATAGCTTCAGGTTTAAGGACGCCTATGGCAGTGCCATGTCCTTATCCTACTCCATTTGGGATTGTGCCACATGCTGGTATGAACGGGGAGCTGACCAGCCCTGGAGCAGCCTATGCCGGTCTGCACAATATTTCCCCTCAGATGAGTGCAGCAGCTGCAGCAGCAGCAGCAGCAGCTTATGGGAGATCTCCAGTGGTAAGTGTTTGATGCTAGTGCATTCGGTGTTGAGAGCAGTTTATATTAAACATAAGACCTGTAGGGTTAAATCTAGTTCAGTCTCTTTGTAATCTGGGGAGCGTGCTATGGAGAACATGAATTAAACAGTCTTCCTTTGACTAACTCTGTCTTTAATACACCTTTTTGTTTTACTTGGGGACAACTATAGGTTGGTTTTGATCCACATCATCACATGCGAGTCCCAGGCATCCCTCCCAATCTCACAGGCATCCCAGGAGGAAAACCGTGAGTATCAAACATACAACTTCAAAAGTCGGTCATCTGTTGAAGTTGCATTCCCTTGCCAGCTGGAATTCCCCTTATCTACTGAAAACTATTGTGTGAATAGAAATAAATATAGCTGTTTGACAAGGGCAGGAGAAACGCTATTTAATCTTAAAGTTGCATTTGTAAATTTGAAGACTAATAGCAGCTGACAAGGACTGGGTGATGCAGATTAAATAAGACAGAAATAAATGAAAATAAAAAGAGCTGAACTTCAAGGTGTTACGTGCTGAATCTGACTGGTTTGTCTTGCATGGGAATGCAAACTGGAACTGGAACAGGATCTCAGCTTTCCATCTCTACTATGTTTTGCTCCTCAGTTGAAAAAAATTATTTCTTTGTTCACAAAATCCTTGGAAGTTACTTGCAAACTTATCCGCTGCTGTCAGCAGCAGTGTGCAGAGAAAGTAACATGGTAATGTTTTGTTTGGTTGAAAATACTGGAAAGAATTATTGTATCATAATGTTCAGATTCATCCTTGATGGAAAGGATTGTAAAGAGTGACCTGCTCTACCAGGCGCTATTTGTTGTAAGCCTCAGAAGAAGAATTACACAGATATGAAGAACTCTGTGCTCGCATCCCTCTTGAGTTAGAGAAGGGGAAAAATAAAGCAGCTATGCAAACCATACTAATCCAGATCTTATGTAAGGGTCCTCCAGTTATACTTCTTCTGTGACACTTACGGGAAACTGTGACCAGTTAATACTGGGTAAGAGTTTAAGAGTTTGAAGGGCAGGGGATGTTTATGCCACTCCTTCTTTCACTTTTGTATGGATGAATATGTTTGTGGAGGAGTGGCTGGGGGATAGTCACATACTTGCATGCAAGTAAATGCATATACTTACCTGTCAGTGAGCTTGCAGATGTGCAAAGTTAGTAGCATACTGTGGTGACAAGCAATCAGTCCTAGCACCTGTAACTTCTCTTGTACAGATGGGTCACACAAATCTCAAACCATGTCCAGCTCTCTCGCACATCACACACTGGTCACACCCAAGCTGACTTTTCTGCTAGTTGCCCTTTAGGCTGCATAAAGCAAGTACAGAAATCCCTGTACAGCAGGTTCCAGATCAGCTGCTTGCATTAAGAATCCTGTGGGGCACAGACCTTCATCCTGTATGTGCAGCAGGCACATAGAATGTTTGCTGAGTTCAAGTTCATCCTTGGTGGGGTCGGTTGCCTGTAAGGAGGCGTGTCCAGTCTACCAGACTTAGTGGTGGTCTGAGAAATGGCAATACCACGATGCGCAGACCTCCCTGCTTGCATCTCACTTGTGTTAGGGATGGGTAGAATAGAACAGGCAAAGTGAAGTCAAACCAGTTCGATTCTGGTGCATCTCCAGGGTTTTTGAATGTTGTTGATATATTGATGACTGTTTTAAAGATTTAACTGTAACTGTCATTTGTCTGCCACAGGCCTGAAACCTTTTTGATCTGTGGTCATTTTAGCATAATCACATTGATTTTTCTTCCGTCTTAAGTGCGGTGCTTTTCACAGCTATCATCCAGGGGTTTTGCTTTCTCATTTATTCTTCCTTTTCCCTTAGAGCAGAAGTTGTGTAAATTCTCTGCACTATTGAGTGGCTGCTGAAATGCAGCAGGCAGCGTGTGGCACATCAGGAATCTTGGCCCCTCATAATGCTCTTTTCACTTTGGAGATATATTGAAACACTGAGGATTGTACAATATATAAATAGAAAAGGTAGATAATGTGAAAAGAAGAAAAAAGTGCCTGCCAGGTGTTTATAGTATCAGATATTTAGAGTACTTCAAATAAACAAGATAAGGTGTTAGTTCTCTGAGAAAAAAAAATAACCCAAAAAACACTCAACCACCACAAAATCAAGCTAAGCGACAAAGCAGCAGTTTAACCACATGTGCTGGTATGAAGTAATGAATAGAGTGAGAATAATGTCATCACAGATCACTCCAGATCTAAGCTTTGTTTCTGTAATTGTTAAATACGTTCCCTGTGTACTTTATAAGCATGCTAAAAATCACTTTGGCTGATAAAAGTATCATACAGTCAGTGCTCAACATGTCTCTGCAGAGAATGACTGCATACAGAAATCAGAAAAGACGATAATGAAGTTCCACTTGTTTTGTTAGAGATTTCAGGAGACCATCAGCTGCTTTTTTTCAGTTACCTTCCTGCAGCAAGCAGGAATTAGGAAGATAATGAGGACGATACTTGAGATTTCTGTGGTGATAATTGAACCCTAATTCTACTCATAGAGGCAGTTTGCTGCTTCTGACAACCATAGAAATATGTCCTACTCTTTCCTGAATGTGTTTAATGTCAAAAAATGGAGAATGATGATACGATCTGTCACTCAGACCTGCCAGAACAAGAAACAGAGCGCAGGATGAGAAGAGTGTGTAAAGCTCTGGGAATAGGGCAGAAAGGTGGAAATACAGTTGGCTTTTGTCCTTCTGAAAATTATTGTTCTAGTGTTAATGAATTTTAAATAACAAATTCAGTAGTTGAATTCTAAAGACTGCTTTCGTCAGTGACTTAGAAGTAACAATTAGGGAAGTGAATACATAAGTATTCTCATAAAATGATATTTTTTTTTTGTGAGCTCTTCTCATCCTACCATTGTGACAATGGATTTTTCATCAGCACTATGGTGATTTTTTAGGTCAAAGGAAATTAAAGCCTTCTGTTAATTATACCTTGATATGTGTAGGTGAACCCTCTTACAAAGTTTGTGCTCTTGTAATAGATGTGATGTGTCAGGTAGCATCTCAGAACAAGACAATTTCACAACCTAACTGTTCTCCCTGGAAAATATTTTGAGATGAAGCTGTTGATAGGTTATTCACAGGTGGCATAACTGGCAGTCACACAACACATTCTTTCTCAGTGAGAGCCCTGGTTCTGGCAAGAGAAATAGGGATTTGTAGCTGTTGTGTCAGGTACACATGAACATAAAAAAAAAGGGGGGAGGGGTGGGCAAGAAAAGACAGCAAGCCCCCAAATGGGAAAAAACTCCAGTGCATTTTTGCTGGTCTGTCATGTCAGATGTCAGCAACTGTGCCTTGAGGACATAACCCTTGACAGTGGAGGTTTCACTGCACCCTTAGGTACAGTGCTGGGCAGTTTGGCTCGAGGACCATGGGGCCTGCAGTGAGTTTGGGCCATCTTGGCAGCAACACAGCTGAAAGTGTGCACATTAGAGTCAGTAATGGAGGAACCAACTGACCCCTGCCACTCTGCTACCCGCCATGCTCTGCAGCGGCCAGCCAACTATTTCTGTCTTTCAGGGGGCCCTGACCTGACCTTCCTTCCCAGCTCTGCATGCCTTAAGTTTAAGAGTAGCGTCATGTGTCCTCAGGCATACCTGAAACCATCATTGCATGAGTTTAAAGCTCATTTGGTTGGTAGATGGTACATTAAAAGAAGAGTACTTAAGTTTATACTTTGATGGCCCAGTTATAGACAAATAAATAATTTTTATTCACATTATTAAAAAGATTGCAAAAGGAGCTGAGTGCACAGTGTGAATGCCTGCAGTGAAAATATATCTTTAATTCTGTTTTCTTAAATGGGCTTGAAGAAAAACTTCTTAAATCACCTCCTATCTTTCTTCTACCCTCAGAGCATACTCATTTCATGTAAGTGCAGATGGTCAGATGCAGCCAGTTCCTTTCCCTCCTGATGCCCTCATTGGTCCAGGAATCCCTCGCCATGCTCGTCAGATCAACACTCTGAACCATGGGGAAGTTGTGTGTGCAGTTACCATCAGCAACCCCACGAGACACGTATATACAGGTGGGAAAGGGTGCGTCAAAGTCTGGGACATCAGCCAGCCTGGCAACAAGAGCCCTGTCTCCCAGCTGGACTGCCTGGTAGGTCAACAGCAGCATATGACAGTGGGAGAAGATAGCAGGTTGTGTTAACATAGAAATGATACTATTAAGGTACAAAAATCATTGGCTATTTGTGTGCTGTCATTGGTATCAAAGCTTGGTATTTCATTTGTAATTTTTTTTTCCTTTTAGAACCAAGTTTGAAGTATGTTCCTTGTCGTATTTCTGGGTTTCCTCCCACCCCCAGCAAATCAAAACATCTTTAATATCCTTAAAGTGAATTGGTAGGGGGAAAGATCAAAGACAGCACAGCAAATATCATTTATAACTTTGACGTTTGTTGGCAATCCTAAAGCTTGATATCCTACCATGCTAAAAATTGCTGTCTTGCAGCTATATTCTTCAAGAATATTTGAAGATTATGTCACGTATTTCATGTCTGCTTATGAGTGTGAATGCGTTACCCTGACTTAATGTGATAATTAAAAATATTCCTGAGTGTTATTCACGAATTATTTGAATGTGCTAACAAAATGAACCATTGTTAGCAGCTTTTCTGATGTCGTTTACCAGTTCTTGGTAAGATGTTGCTTCTTGTTACAGAGGCATTAAAATGAGAACTGTGCGGCACGTGTAGACATATAATGAATTGCTACACAAGTTGCTACACAAATGAAGAAAATTGCCCAAATACTTTCCTCTGACATCTTGTCGTGGTTCAAGCCCAGCCGG